GCTAGCTTCTCGGCAATTGTACGTATATTGACTTCAAGTTAACTCGGTGGATATCAAGGAGATTCTGAACTAGAAATAAGATTTTATGTTGTTTATAAGTTATTGAAATTTTTGTTTTATAAAACTTTGCTTGTGGTAACTATTTGTAATAATTGCTGTTGTAAATTGTACTGTTGTATATATATTAAAATGCATTTGTGTGAAAAACGAAGACGGTGAGTGTCATACTTGTTGGCAAATAGCATATATTAACTAAAATGTTGGCTTTGGACTATTTTAAATTCTCAGTACGTAACAATATACCTTCATCTTATGTTTTAATAAACAAGATAAACAGTTGTGTTTTAATAAGGGGAGTGTAACAAGATTAATTAAAACTTACTGGAAAAATAATATTAGTATGAATTAACTTTACACCTCCTCAAACTCATCTTTTATATAAAACAAAATTTGTTATTATTGTCTTGCTAAGTTCAGTAATTTAACTTTTGATAAACACAATACAGGTTGTATCCTACCCATTTAACATCCAGTGTCTGGTTTCATAGTAAAACAAGATAAAACCATTCCCCCAACAAAGTATCTGTTTACATTATTTCCATAACAGATCTATTCCTGTTAATTCCATGACCACATCAGATCCAGCTTATTCCCATAATAACAGCATCTTTTCACATTACCAATTTTTCACTTCTAGTTTAATTTTCTTCCACATCTATTTTTCCATTTTTAAAAACATTAGTGAGAACTATGTGATCTGTAGTTTCAATATAGGCAAGCTTAAAACTTTGAGTGAAAAAAATGTGTATTTGTTAAACCCATAATACAACAATCTTGAAGTATAAAAACCATACAACACACTTTTATTGTTCAGTTCTTCTAATTAACTTTTCACTGCCCCCTGAAGAGTGTGATATCAAACCAAGGCTAGCAACTAAAGATCATATTTGTATAAAAGTACAGACTAAATTTTTAACTGTATTCACATCTTTGATTTTAAGTTCAAATTTTACAATCAATTGTAACTTCAGTTTCTGTTGTTCTTATGTTTGGTTTTTTGAAAAGACAAGCACTTAGATTGTCTATAGATTTGAAAAAATTCAGACTCAACTTAAGAGATTTGTTCACATAACATAATGACAAGTGCTAGGAACGTTCTCTGTTATATTTTAATAGATGGTAAATTGGTTGTTATATACAATGTTTGCATAACATAATGACAAGTGCGAGGAACTTTCTCCGTTATATTTTAATAGATGGTAAAATGGTTGTTATATACAATGTTCGCATAACATAATGACAAGTGCTAGGAACGTTCTCTGTTATATTTTAATAGATGGTAAATTGGTTGTTATATACAATGTTCGCATAACATAACGACAAGCGCTAGGAACTTTCTCTGTTATATTTTAATAGGTGGTAAATTGGTTGTTATATACAATGTTCACAAACTTAGAAATATGTTTGTTTTGTTTGTAATTAAGCATAAAGTTATACAATGGGCTATCTGTGCTCTGCCCTCCACTGGTACCAAAACCACATTTCTAGTTTTGTAAGTCTGCAGAAATACCACTTTGCCACTGGGGGCTTAGAAATGTTGTCCAAGGGTCATATTCCAGTAGCCTATACTGAAAGTTTAAACCTATGATAAAACAACACGCATTGAAGTTGTGTATTTTGTAAAGATATAAAAAGAATTAACATCAAAAGTTATCCCAGTAGCAAAACAGCTTCTATACAGTAAGAGGCAGGGACACAACAATATTCATGAGCTACATTATAAGCTGTTAACAGCTGTCTTTACTAGTCACATTCTTTGTATTTCTGTAGACATTCTACTGTAAAAACGTATAAAGCTACCAAAACATCAGATATTGACAATCTACCATGGAATCAACCTAAAATGCAACTTATGTGTAATATTTCTACCTAAGAAACTGAATGGCTTGTTGATGGTGTAAAAGACCAATATGATATTTTATATGGTACATTAGCTGACAAAGTAACAGATATAATTTGTTAGACAGCTTAGAAAGAAATTCCACTGAAGTTTTGTTTGTTGTAGAGGAAAGCCACATTCGGCTGTGTCTACCATGGGGAATCAAACCCCGGATTTTAGCATGGTGAGTTCATAAACTCACTGCTGTCCCACTGGGGGACTAGTGAGATAATATCTGTCAGAAAAATCAAACACATTGGTGAAGCAAAATTAAAATCCCATGAAGGAAAAAATATTTTTTGTTCTAACTGTATGATATAGCCAATTTTTCTTTATTAAACCCAAACTGTTTCATTTTTTTCCCTCAAATGTTTTATCTTTCCATTATGTAATGTTGTATTTGATTTACATGGACAATAAATATATAGCGAAGGAGCAGTTACATTTACCTCATTTTGGAACTGTTAGTCAGTAGAGATTTCTACAAAAAGAAATTGACTGCTTATTATTTTTGTCATCCCAGAAGCTTAAGTGATAATGGGATATGGTGTGACAAAAACAAATTCTATTGAGATGGAGAGGGAGTAACAAAACAAACATAAAGGTGTCTAAACTATGAGGGTTAATGATAAGAAAAGTCTAGAAGGTAAAAAATGTGGTACGTAAACAGCATGTAATGCCATTAAGTGGAAGAAGTAATCTGATGGTTCCCTGAAGCACCCTGATCACCTAGGATAAACCCCAACTGTGGTTTTCTGTGTTGTATCAAATGTGCTTAAAAAAAATTTAAGTGAATATTGTAATTATGTGATAGCAATGGTTTGATAACTTGAATTCTAGATATGGGATTTCATGTTAAGTGTTTTTACCCATGATGTTTTTTCATCACGTGATGGAAAATCACATAACTCTATACATTACAAAAAACAATAAATATAGAAAAAAATAATATATTACACAATAATATATAAACCCAGCAAATTACAAGGCTGGAATGCTACATGGCTACAAAGAACAATTTTATTCAGTTTGTTTGAGCACTATTTTCAAAAGTGCTTATTTTGCAAGCTTGTTGCATTTTCCCGTTAAAAAATGGTTTTATATATAAAACCAATGTCGTGGTTTTCTGTATGGTAGTAAACAGTCACACACAAGTGTACATTTCTTTTTTTAAGATTTTCAATAAACAGGGGTAGTGCTGAACTTTTTGTAATAATACATAAATAAAACAAAATAAAACTGAGAACCTATACATTTTTTATAATGCCGAGACATTTAAATATACTTGATTTTACTATCCTGTGTCCATAATGGTTGATGTTCTTTTGAAAAATAATTAAAATGTAGAAAAAAATTAAAATTTTTTATTGCTTAACTATTAGTAAATGCCATTATGTTACAGAGCAATTTTGAGTCATGACAATAACTTTTATGTGTAAATGGCACCTAAGATGGGCAAGTGTGCTTTGTAACACCCTTTTTAAATTATCATACACTTAAAACTATAATTGTATCAAATGGATTATAAGCAGTTTCATAATTAAACCTAATACGTTCACATTATTACATACTATTTGCCACAATCTGTGACAATTTAGTAAACATATTTTTAATTCAATGCAAATACACAAGGAGTGAGAGAGAGAGAATTTTTATGATATGAGGTCTTGATCCATAACCTTATGGAACAACTCTTCATCATTAATAACTTTTACGACCATTTGTACCATTTTTTGTGCTTGAAATGTTCTCACCTGAAAAGGCATACTATCTCAATTACTTTTAAAGTAATTACAGAAATATAAGTTTCAACTTACTTGATACAACAGTACTGCTAGTGCGGATTCCTCAAAGCTAGATGTACCTTACTGATTACACAAAATGTTATCGTTACTAGTATACAGAACAGTTTGTACAAAAATCTTTCATGTGTGACACCTAATGTAGTCAGTTAATTACACAAATCACCATTTGAAATTTACATGAAATTTAGAAGTGCTTTTTTTTTCTATTTTTGCATCATCACTTATCCAACAAATAACACAGATATTTATAGCATCTATGCTTCCATGGCAAAACTTCTTTAGAGCTGGCCTCAGGTTTATTGCTTGTGTTTTGTTTATCTTATTGGTGTCCCTAAAACAATAGTTAATCAACAAATGCATTATTTTATTCATAATCCAAAATAATCATGCCATTCATTTAAAGCTGACTTATTCCTAAAAACAACACAACAGATTTACTATTAATGTCACTGAAATTAATAATATCAATTGGCCATAAAAGCTTTATAGGATCCACAACAATATAACTGACCACATAAAATTATTGATCTTTATTCTATATTTAGATACTGTTTATGTGTTAACATGAAAGAAGTTTTTCCTGGCTGTATTCTCAAGTTATGTATCTTGGTATATAATGTTATTGTTATTACAAAGTCCCTCAAATTTATAGGAGAAAATCTACACACATTTCTCATATCTGTTGTTATTATTGTATGATGTTACCTTTACAACTGCTTGTGCATAATGAACATCAGGTGAAACCCAACATTTACACAGGTTAGAAAAATCCATACTAAATACCCCTCTTAATAAAAATATGTTTGACATGTTTCCTAAAATACTGGCCCATATTTTGTTTTATATTTCCAACTTAATGCTCAATAAAGTTAATACACAAAAGCAATCAGCTTTTCAAATACTTTCAATGTATTATGTGTTGAAAATTGGTAAGATAGTTGTACATTAAACAACATGTACACCCCACTTTTATACTGATTTGAAAGAAAACATAGCAACATAAAGAATAAATGCTGGTGAAAAATTTTACATTAAGGATAATCAAATTTCTCGTTTTCATGTTACTGAATGATACTATGTATTACATTTTTTCCTTAAGTCGTATCTGATATTTAACTTTACAAGATTATTGTGTAATATGTAAAATTATTTCATGTTCAAAACACAAAACATGCCCTTTATTTACGAAACAGAATAACAATAAAAAAAATAAGGTTAGTTTTACCTCTCTTCAGGTCAATACAAACTACACGTATGAACGACATACATATCAGCAGTGTGTGTGTATGTGCAGTGCTCAGACATTGTGTACGTATTACAGTATAGTGGTATGTGTGAGAGTTCCGATGTAAGTCTAGTCTTACTACAGGCTGTACTTTACTGTACTTCGCGGGCAGGCCAAGCTGGTTAGAGTGAAAACGTTGAATGTGATTGGCCAAGATTACTGTTCTGTTTAAAAGTTTTACAGGTCATTGACTGTTTGTTACCTCAAGATACTAAGCAACATTAGCATGGTTTGGGCTTATTTTTTCCAATGTAACAAAACTTCCTGGGAAATAAGGCAAATTAATTGAATAAAGATCAAAATTGCCAACTAAACATTAATTGTACTGTTTGGAAATAAATAAGACATAAAAACATCAAATATCCTGTAATTGGGTCTGTTCATCAACATTGTCATAATTGGATCTTTTTTTTAAGGGTCTATGTTTCTTTTTTTTTTTTCCAAACAACCAATACAGTCTTCCAGACAACCCCTGATAAATCCTCTGAAATTTTCTTAAAAACGAGCCCTGAGATAGGTGTTGGATGAAATGAATAGGCCCTCTTGTTGTTCCTCAAGTGTTATGTAACACAAATTATACAAAATATATTAGGTCTAACATCATTTACTTAAACATCTTTTTTTAATCTTCTGAATTTTACATTGCCTCAAAAGTGTGGATAAAACAGTAACAAAGTATTTAAAAAAACATAGTAGAAAAAAAAAAAAAAATCCTTTATGAAAACTTTTTCCTACATTACCTGAAGTTCCTATAAAGATAACAAATGTGTAACTTCTGTTAGATGATAATTAATTTGACTTAGTAAAGTGTATTCCTTGTCGCTTCAGGATATTTAACAGAAAGGCATCATTAAGGGTGTGGGCAATTGTGTAGGAAGTCCCTAGAAAAGGTGGCCCCTCAATTGGGCTTTCCATGAGGCTCTAAGTCAAGTAATGCTTCCTCTGGTTTAAAATAATCTTTTTCAACTAGTAGAATTGGATATACTATTTCTCAATATACTTACTTTACTCATCCTTCAGTTTCTCCTGAGTACAGTGTATTAGTCGATCACTAACTAGGAATAACACTTGACATATTTCACAGATGTGATACTAAAGACTGGATCCACTAAAGAAATAAAGAAAAAGCACAAGATATTTCTATTTTCATGCTATTAACAATTTCTTTTGCAAATTTGCATTAAGGAGTTTCCCTAATTATTGTATTGATAAAGTCACTCTGTTATTATAAAATACATACTTATTTTTCATATGCCTTTGTAACAGGCTAATTAGTTCAATCATTATAAAGCTATAAACAACCTGAATATTCAAAAAAGCCATATGTACAAATGAAGCATGACTGAAGGCAAGACAAATGGCAATTTAGTCCAGATAATCCATTTAAGATGTGTAAGTCGAAAGTTCTGTATAAACTTTTGTGCACTAAGACCAACAATAAGAAGAGTTTATGTAGTTTCTTTAAGGTACTGTTGAAAGCTATGGTGTGGGAAAAAAATTATGAATTATTATTGAAACTTAATAAAGTATTACACTTAAGAGCTAAGCAATTAGTCAAATTTGATAATCGATTAATTGTTGGGGTTAGTACTAACATTCAACAAACCGATTATTTTCAAGAGATTTGAACTGTTTGAAAAATCAAATATAGTAATAATAGTAATAATCAAAAATATTAATTTTGGGTAGTTGACTATTCTTATGAGTAGTTGATTAAACTGAACAATAATTTTGATTATATTTGTGACATTAATCAAATTAGTTGTTATTTTAATTAATCAATTATTTGACATAGCACTAATAGATGTAAACAATGCTCATAAATAATTAAACAATTAATTAAATGAGCTAATCACCCAGCTCTATTTACAGGTAAGTACAATAATAGCAAAATAAAAATGTTATCAATAAATCTACTAGAACTGTTACATTAAGATTTTAGTAATTGGATACCCAGTGTTGTCATGGTTAGTAGTCTATATATTCAACTATGTCTAATTAATAATTATTTACTTTTTATTTAATTACTACATATATATATATATATTTGTCTTTCTAACAAGAAGACTCATGATTGAATCCTGGCTCCAGCCAAAACATACAATCCATTTCATAGGATATAACTTAAATAGTAATGAGTTATCCAGTAAGCACTGAATAACTGGATGCAAGTATCATATAGACTGCTACCCATGACAATAATTATTGATCTAGATATAACAGTACAGCTAAACAAAAGAAAAAAGAAAAGGGAACATACATTTGATTATTAATTAAATAATGATTTTTTAAACCTTACTCATTCAATATTAGAGTACACAAAGTTTCAAACTGAATATGCTCATCTGATAAAACTAGTTACACTTTCACATTTGCATCAAATGAAATTTCCTCAACAAATAATGAATATGGCAGAAAACCTTTCATAACTATACCTCCTCCTATCACCATGGCAATGCTTCTTGGAATCCTGGTAAGAACCAACTGAGGTATATTAGATGCTTCGCTCTGGACTGAGCACTGAAAAACATGCTGCAACAGGACTCCACAATTGGAGAGAGGAGAGCCTGTGCTACAAAACTCCTCTAGCATGTAAGGAAATAAATAATACTGGTTTATTTGTAGATTCTAAAAATAAAAATAACCTAGTACTACAACAAATTAATTTTATTCTTTTTCCACAAATTATTCCTGTGATACATTTTTATAAGGAGTTGAATAATTCAATGCCAGCTTAAATCTATTACAAAACTGTGTATGCTAAATTCTGCAAGAGAAACAAAATCTATTCATTCTTGTGATCATACTTTTTAAAATCTTTATTACAGGGTTAGTTTATTTGATATTAACAAAGCAGTCTAAGTTAAATCTTACACCAGAGAGTAGATGAGCTTTTTTATTTCTTATCTTCATATAACTTTAACTGTTATTTAATAGCAATTTATATGATATTATATGATGATATACAGGCAGTTTCCATCTATTCCAGTTTACTCATCATGAATATTCTTCCTAAACAATCTATCAATAAATTACTATTACTTACATTTGAATGTTTAAAAGTATGTTTTCATTGGAGTAAATTCTACATGGAGGTAACGTACATGCAACTACATAATATTTTATATTAAATGAAAACCAAACACACTGTATTTTTTGAATAGTTTTTACAATGTATCTTATGATACCTTTCCACAGGCCAAATCTGGCCCTGGATTACAGTTTGAGCATCCCTGATTTAACCTATATCATATAAAAAAAACACTGAACAATTTCCCCGACTCTTTGAGAAAAGAGAAAATACGACTCATCCATTCACAGTGTTAACACTCTTTACCTATTACAATACTCCAAGATACTGTAATATTTCTTCTACTACAATTATTCCAATTTTCAAGCTGCATTCTATTTGTACATTTTGCACAAAATTATAGCATTCATGGTATTAACTATTATCATAAATACAATTTACAAACAGCACACTGTTAAGAAAGGTATTCTAGATTCTTACACACAGTCAGTAGCTATGCATAATTTTCAAATTAAAAAAAACTGTTAGGTAGTGATTGGGTAGAAATTACAATGCTATTGTTAATGGTGAAACCTCACATTCTGTTATACTAACAAAATAATTATCAGTAGTCATTAATGTTAAAACCATTTCCTACATTACCACTTTTTTTATAAATGAAATAATTACATCAAACTAGTTGAAAATATATTTGATTTGTATTTTCCAACCATATTTCAAATTTTATGAACTCACTAACATGGCCTCAGTGAAACAATGCTACTGTTAGTGGTGTTTCCGGCCCTTAAACGACTAACAATACACCAACTTTTCATTTTTGACACTTTGTAATGCTGCTATATTACAGAGGTAATGGTAATGGCTAAATTTATTGTCTTCAAATTATATGAACACCCAGAACAGATATATAAAACCGTTGAAAAATGAAAAAATAACTGTTATCTATTGACACTATCAATTGCTAAAACTTAAATATAACTTTCCAGCAAAAAGCTAAAACTATGTTAGAAAAGAAATAACTAAATATCTGCTCAATAACAACACTCATCACATTGTTCATGGGATTTGTGATTAGTCAGAATGAATTTGAAGTCTAATTTGGGTTGCTAGCTGCTGTACAACAGCGACGTCTATGCATTAATCTAGTTGCAACTCAGAACTTAAGAAAGTTTTTTTGCATTTATAAAATACTAACTTATATAACTAAGCCCATTTTATCATGTTAATATCTTTAAAAATAATGCAATTGAATATAACAAGTACATACTTCAGAATAAAATTAAAATCAGAAGCAAATAATCTTTTGAAAATTACCAACGATTCTATGATTTCAACAAATATCACTCGCAAACTGCGACGGCATTTGTAAAAGGCCATTTTGCTTCACGAGGTGCACGATGGGACTAGAAAATGACAGCAAACGGCATTGGCTCAAATCATCATTGATATTGTTAGTTGTTTTATTTATTCATCACTTCGTCTACGGGCTGCATTTCAAGTCTTGACGACATAGTGAGATTGGAATACGAAAAGACGAAAACTATTTTGGAAATGAGTTGAAAAACTTTTAAATATCTCTTCGTAAATCATAAATGTGTAGCTGGTGTTAAGATTAATGAAATATCTATGTGAATATTTCTTGAAAACTTAATTGCTTAATTAATTTAATGATTGCGAATAGTTTCATCAACAATGAGTTCAAATGTGCCTCAGGTGAAGTATGATTGATTTTATCTTTTTAAAAAAAAATGTTAAATTATGTGTTTGTTTCAAATTTGTTTTTATTTCCCATTTCAGGGTAGTTTAGAATATAATTTTCATGCTGCGTGCTAGAAGCGACCTTGCTGTAGGTGTAGTGTCGCTGGATTAGGGGAACCACTAGTAGCATGTGCTCAGGGCTTGGAACGCACACGCGTTTATCGCGGGCTGTGTGAATTGATTCTGAATATGACATTTTCTCAGTTTGTAGGTGCTTCGTGTGGCCACCATGGATCATACACATTTTATAAAGCCTTCAAATATTTGAAGCACGGGAAATACAAGATTCTGACGCTTGGTGAATTTTTCTTTGTGAGAATTCCGCCCGATGATGATCCGTGCATAGGCGAATTGCAACTACTATGGGAGGACAAGAACAGTGATCAATTGTTGTCAAGTATGAGACTTTATTTCCTTCCTGAACAAACTCCTGAAGGGAGAAAGTCTTATCATGGGGAGGTAAATTAGCGTTTATGTATATTTAACTTTTATTTTATGTGTTAAAATATTATTGTTCAAGTTTAAGACTTTTGATAATATTAATAGGAACAAAAATCAATTCTGTTTAGAAAAGAAATTAGAAATTGATAAAGTTTTAGATATAATTTATAATTATGTAACATTACACACACACACACACACACACACACACATATATATATATATATATATGTATACCTAGGCTTTTAGATATTAGCGTTTTTGCGTATGATTTAAAAATACGAAAGACCATCGAGTCGATATAAGTGGTCTGCATTAACTGTTCCCTCATGTTTAGTTTTATAACCATTGAGCTGTATTTGAAGTCACCTTAATAAAATTCACGAATTAATTATATAAACTTGTACTATGATTGCTTTTGAAATTGCAGTAGCAGGACAAGAGATTTAAAGAAACAAGAAAGATGTCAACTTTCATTGTAATTATTCTTTAAGTAATTTCTTATTAGAAAGATTAATTATATTCCTTTCATGTTTCTATGACAAATACTATTATCAGTGCAACTAATGAATTACAGAATTTTGTTAAATAAAAGTATTAATTTACCTTGTGTATAGAATCAAACGGTAATGGTATTTATAGTTAATGTTAAGCGATCAAAGCTTTTATGACTATACTTGTGACAGTGTATCCAGGTGTTTTGCTTCCTATTTCTATAATTGCGAATGATAAATTACTTTAAGACACGGCAAGAGCGCTGTAATCGAACACAATTGTGAAAACAAAATTTTGAATCTCTTTACATCGATGCTAAAGACAAAAAGTAGACTTAACATTCTTAGTAAAAAAAATGACCCATTTTCAAAGCTGTGGAACGCCTTACGCTTCGATCAACTTGCCGTGACATAGCTGAAACCTATGGGCTATAGAAATTCCAATTTATATGAAATACTTATTCCAAAAAGAAAGATTAGTGATAGAAAGATTTGAAAAAAAAGACAAATCAATACAACATTGGGTGGATACTTTTTAAATGTTTGTTCAAAAGAAGTAGAATTTACTATTTTTTGGTATAGAATACTAACACATTATATGTTGTCTTGTTATGCAACTAAATTGTACATTAAGAAAAAACCGGAAGAAACATAAAATTTGGCATTCTTTAAAACCATTATATGAATAATATGACCATTATAATATGGAAGAGGCCTTCTCACGTAATTCCCTCCCTCTTTCGGTTAGTATCCTCTTTGCAGTATATACATACCCACAACTGCGTGCTCGCTCGACTGCCCGGCTTTGATTCCAGGACTTTAAATCTTTCCTATTGCCAGTGGCGTTCCACATGCGTGATTCCATTGCTGCCCAATTACCCCTAGGGAGTACTATGTCATCCTCTCTTCTTCTCTGGCGGGTTTCCTTTAAATCCTAAAAATTAGGGACAACACTCAATTAGTGACGTAACGTTGTAAAAAATGTAAGAACGTTGCGAATAAGATACATAAATGTAAACTTGAAGTTTGTTGCAACTATAATATTCTCTGCTATTTTATCGTAACTAGTCTATTTTTGCTTGTTTGAATTGTATATTTGTGGATAAACTTACTAAAGAAATTAGCAGAATAAGTGGAAAAAAATGCTAGTTGGAAAAATAATAGATTCTGTTATAATTAAATATTAGAGTTTTAATTTTTTCAAAGGTGGATTACTCATTAAAAATATGCAACACAAATTCAGAATTACTAAATATTTTAAACCGTAGCAACTTGTTACGTATAAATGTTCGATACTTCTAAAATATGTGGAACACATAATGCCAAGTATCGTACAAGGTTTAATCTGAAAGCCTACTCTACATATATATATATATATATATATATAGTAGTAAAACATGGACATAGCTAGCACTACAGAGCGGGGAAGGGAGTACTTAAAAAAAAATTAAATGTGGATCATTTCTTCTACACAAAAAATTTAAGTGATCTACTTGAAAGTTAAGTATTTATTAAAATAAAATTCAGAAGATAGTGGACCTTTTAAACTTTTTATAATATTGGGGTGGTATTCGATCCCCCCTCCTCCCGGCAACGCCCTTGCTAAAAGCACTTATCTAGGGTAGATATGAAAACATCTGGAATACAACTACATTTTTCAAGCTTTCAATAGAATAACCTGAAGCTAAATTATTTTCGTACAGGGAGACTTACCTGATAACCTGTTTTGGCAGTTGAAATGTATGTAAATAGTTTGAAACAAAAACTACTAATAATTTGAGTTTAAATCAAAATGGCTAGTTTTAGAATCAATTTTAAGCTCTTCGGGGCACACTTTGAAAAATTACTAGCGATGGTAAAATTTCAAATATTCAACCCATTTTATCCAGTGTACAAAAAATATTTATTTTAATTATTGCCATAACTCAACAACTGTCGGATGATTGTTGTGCAGTACACGGTTTTCGAAGTAATTTTGTGATCTTACGTTAGGTGAAGAACTTGTTAAGTGTTGAGGAAAATAGTACAGCTGATATCTAACTTCAGCTTAGATGTGACTAACTGCTAGGTCATTCATTCCCTTTCTTCTGACATCTTTTTGTTTTATTCTTACATATACATCATTCATTACATGTCCTGTTTTACGTTTGTTTTAGCTTGTGTAATTTCAATCATTGTTTATTACTATTCTGTAATGCTTTTATGCGTGCGCTAACTGAAGGAAAATTAAACAAAGCTTTCATAGTTTAAAACACGCACGTTTCAGTACATCAAGGTAGCGACATATTATAAGCATAGAACCAAAGTATAGACGTTAACCTTATTCTCCCCATCGTGTAAAACAGAAACGGGTTTGAATATTTGATAAAGCAGGTAAGCAGACAATGATCACATCATATTGCGTATATTTAGTTCTAGTATTGACTTTCACTCCTACATGTTTTTTTTTAAATACTTAGATGTTTCTAGTAATTATTGTACTTATGAAAGAAGTTAGCATTACCACCCCCCAGAAAGTTTTAATTAAAACACAAATACAATATATATACTCCTATGTGTAAGTGGTAAATTCGAATAAGAATACACCTCCTGTATACATTACATAAATATCGTAATATATCAAAAATTTTAAGAGTATGTAACCTACTGTATTACAAAAGTTTTCCTGATTTTTATGCGATCAAGAGATTCCTTAGAAGAGCTTCTAAAATGAGTGTTTTAATGAGTTTAGAAACGAATTTTCTCGTGAGCTTGCGTGCCATGACTGGGAACACGCAGTGTTTGATGATGCAAACTTGCGTTTGGAGCAATGCCAAATTATATATGCAAGACAGATATTTAATATTAGTAATATATGAGTATATTATATGGGGGAAAAATGTGCTGATCATCATGAACTGGCCTGGGTATCACTCAAAGTAAATATGACAGAGAATTACATGTTTTACATATAAATATAGCGGGTAAATAAACCTAAAATATTTACTTGCCGTGATTTCGAAATTTAAAACATGACAGCGTATTTCCCTATTCGATTTATCATGAACAATTTTATTTATACGTGTTAATCTTTTAATGAATAGCACTTGCCCTCATTTATATGTTAAAAATATAGGGTTTTCCACTATTTTAACGGTTGTTTCTTGCTCGTAACGACTGCATTCAAGCTCTTCTCCTAGATATTTATTTATTTGCCATTTAAAAACGACTGGCGTAATGGCTTGCTGATTTAATAAATCACAAAGGCCCCTTTAACTAATATTAGAATATTCCTTCTAAATATATGAGATAATCAGAAAGAAACTATTACAAGTATATGATAGAAATGGTACGAGGAAATGAATGATTTTGTATGTATTTCTTAATAGCTTGGCTTGTACAAAGTTTAATGGACATCGTTTTAAATTACACACATACATATACATATATTAGTTAATGTAGATATGTATACGTATAATATACAATTGCTGTTCTTTGTATATATATCAATATTATTAAAAATAGAAGAGAAAACATAAAAATAACGAAGCATTTGGGGGGACTGACGTCATTCAATGAGCACATAAAGAAATTATTAAAGATATTACTAAATCATACTGCAAAAAATTAGAACTATTTCTATGAAGATTGCTAAGTCATGCAGCTGCAGATAATTGGTCTGAATAACGGTTCACTGAACATTTTATAACTTTTCTTTTCCATGTATTATATGTAAATACTTATATAAGATAAATTTGAACTAATGTGATTATACAAATCTTGATGCTTAGTTAGAGACATGCACTTAAACCTTTATAAAGAAACTGTCGATCATACAGTTTATCTGAAGCTTTCTAAGCACAATTTTATTTTGTTTTGTCTTACAGCTTGATATTTGCCTTTGATAAACGACATAAATTAAACTGTTATAGACGCGTGTTATATGACATTAACTTGCGTGGCTCCGAAATAATCATTACCAAGCCTTTTTTTTTTTTACTTTGTGTGTAATATTACGTTAAGACTTCACAACTGAGCTTAAAATAAAAAAATTAATATCTTATAAAGTTTTAGGATATAGCTAAGGAACGTTGCGTATACAATATGTTGTTCCTAAATCAGCTTTTTGTAGCCGTTCATTATTGTCAAAAAGTAATCAAAACGTCTATTGATTTATTGATCGCGTCTTTCTGTTGCACGAGAAAGAAAACGTAATTCTTTCTTCTTAGAATACTACGAAGAGAGCTTTGTGAAAATAGCTCGCGTATAATAAATAAATTATATTCATCGAGCCATCTAATGATTGTTTGTTTCATTTCGCGCAAAGCTACTCGAGGGCTACCTGCGCTAGCCATTCTTAATTTGAAGTGATAAACAGGATGGAAGGCAGCTATTCAGCACTACCCACCGCCAACTCTTGGACTACTCTTTACCATCGTCTCATTATAATGCCCTCATAGAGATATACATGTTTGAAGAACAACATGAAAGAAGTTATACATCGAATAATAATATAAGGATATAGCCAAATGTACATTTTCATGT